TCAACGCTTCATGCTTGGATACGTTTCTTCGAATGTCTATTACACGTAGCATACAAATTACCATTAAAAACCTGGCAAGCTCGTGGTGTAGAAAACAAAAAAATTGCCGAAACCACTAAAAAATAAATAATAAAAAAATTTAAAAATCAACTTGGGTTAATAGTTGATAAACCAAAACCTGGGTATGGAAATAGGTTAGGCAATACGGCTAGACGTTTTTTCGAAAATGCAGATATATCAAGCAGTATTACTGGAGTAGATATAGTCCGTGACGGTGCTAGAGTTTGTGAGACCCTGGGCAAAATTAATGTTGGGTCTTATAATTTATATTAAGTTAAGTTCAGTTAAATCAGAACCGCGGGGTCTTAATTATAATTTAAGACGCGGGGCCTTGGGCAACTGCCCCTATTGCCACCCCCTCGCGCCATCCCTGGATATAGTGATAATCAACAGATTTCGAACTATTTTGAAAACTATGGCTAGCGGTTATATAATAAATCTAAAACTGTTTGAAGAATATACTCTTAAAACGGCACAATTATTTGTAGAAAAATATCCCTGGTATAATATGTCACCTACTATACACAAAGTATTAATCCATGTAACAACAATAATAGAAAAAGCTATACTTCCTTTTGGACAGTTAGGCGAGGAAGCGCAGGAAGCAAACCACAAAATGTTTAAAAAGTACAGAGAAGAATTCACACGTAAATTTTCTCGTCAAGTAACCAATGAAGACATAGTCAATAGGTTGTTAATTTCGTCAGATCCGTTTATCACAAGTATGCACCAACCAATGAAACGGAAATCCAATTTAAATGCAACTATTGTCCAATTGTTACAATCGCCAGATTTTAATGATTCAGATTCATCTTCTTCGTAAATAAGTGAAAATTAATTCATTTAAATATTCGTTTTTATTATTCATGTTATTTATTAAAATATATATTTATAACCACATACTTGGTTATATATTGCCATTGTAAACCTATGTAAGATTATATGAACACAAGTTTGAACTATATTTATGATGTGTAATGTGATACAAAATAAAAAATAATAACAAAAATAATTGTTGCCAACTTTTTATGTCACCGGCCTGTGTATCGATTATACTGGAAACATCATGTACCGCAAATAAATAGCAAATTAAAGAAGAAACGCGAAAGTTTTACTGGTTAGTCGGATCCCACTCCGAGTTAACTGTAGAAAATAAACGTCTTTTATACTTGGTCGTTATGATATCAATCTGGACCTATGGAATTCAACTGTGAAGGTTGTGCTAGCAAGTCTAACATTGATATAATACAACGATGTTAAAACATCACTGGCAGTCTACCGGTTCGAAAAAACGAAGCAATTCACCGAGATATGAAATACAGAGGTTTGATCGCAAACACGAGAACAGGCTAAATCACTATGTCAATATGATGGCCTTCTAATTATAAGACAAATCCGAAGACATTAAACATCTTAACCGTTTGAAACCTTACGACTTATTTTAAGAATTTAAATTAATGTAAGAGCCACTTCATTGTAAGTGCAACTTCATCGATGTGTACAATATATATTTATGTCTAGTAAGTATGTATTAACAATTGTAAGACAT